GTTATGTGAAGTTACAAAGTTTCGGAGGATAAATCATTTCTAGTAAGGCATTTATGTATCGTTTAAGTTTTCTAAAATAAAAGTTTTTTATTTTATTAATACGAATCTAAATCGAATTTTTGGAATGAATTTAATCGAAATCCTTCAGTAGTTTCGAAAACTAATCGTGCAGATAGACAGACAGGTCTTCAAGTTATACATCGGCTTTAAGAATTTTGTGAAAGAACACATATTAAGCACTCGCAAATCACAAATATGAGACGAGTCATGATTTGATCGCTGAATCGTTTCATAACATTACGCAACACCGGATCACAATTCCCTTGACCGTGACTCGTCTTCCACTAATCCCGTGCGAAGCAATTGGTACAAATTGCGCAACTGTGTGCTTGAATTTGTTATCAGACGAACAGGATATGAACTCACCAGAAAAAAATTTGATGAAACCGCAGCGTTGTAGCTCAGCAAATTCCAAATATAAGGCTCCTTCTTCCACTATCGTTAAATAGCCGTATGTACATTGTCTTAGCTCTGCCCATGCTGAGATTTTAAAATATCAGTGCCTCAGTGTGTTTCCATATCCCCATGGTGAGCATAAATACTCACAAAATTGTTAGTCTGAAAACCTTGAAGACGTCAACAGTGGATTTATTTTACAAATAATAAAAACGATGAAAGAAAGAAGGGAAAATGTTTATTAAATGGGATGTCTCGGTTTTAGTCCTGAGAGAGTTATACCAAATATGAGGAATCATCTGACAAAAGTCAGGAAAGAATCAATTATGCCTGTACGATGTATGTCAGTCACTGAAGTTTGGACATGAACTTCAGCATGGCGCAAACCGTTGCAGTGTTCGACTTAATGAACACAAAGCATTTTCAACTTCTGCGTAAACAAAGTCACGTGTTTTCTCACAGCAATACACCTCCAATTACCTTAATTCTTAGATCATACGATAACTTGTTTGACTTGTATTTAAGAATATCTAGGTTTGAGTCCGGTAAGGAACAGGTTGGAGTAGCGCTGACGCTCCGTATTTGTAGTCGGAGGATTTCCGGTTCGTATATCACGGCATTAACGATTTTCCTAATTGGTGTTTTCCGTTTTTCTCAGATTATCCGTGTAAATATACGGATAATTCTCTGAAATTTCCACGATTTACTTCCTTCAAATCCTTCTATTCACGACTTTGTGTGGTGCAGGTGAAAAAGCATCATTAAATATCCAGAGGGAATATTTAACTCTCGTCATACACGCTTTCGTCATCCGTGGTTTTATTTCCGTGTCATATTGAGCATCTCCATGGCAACGGCAGAAGGTACTTCGCTGGCCCACTGAGTTGGGCCCGCAGCTTCGGTGACTCGCCACGCCATTTTAACTCCGGGTCTGCAATTCAGTGCCGTCATCTATAAGTAGAAATATGATCTTTTCATCCACATCCATAGGATGTAGCGTTACGGTCGCCATTCAGAGATTCTTTGTACTCTGAAGTGTACACCTTTCCAGTCTTGTTTCTTTTGAAGTTTCGAGTTTTAAATTATAACTTACAGAAGAATAAACGATTTCATCGATGTGTTCTAATATTTCTTTACGAAAAACAGGGTCACTAAGAACTGGGCAGTGACTTATGTTTAAATTGATCAAATAGAAACAATAGGAGGAGAAGGAACAGGAAGAGAAGGAATATATATGAAGAAAGGAGAAGAATGTGACCGAAACGAAAAGGAGACAGGATAAAACGAAGATTGAACAGAAAGTATGAGAAGCAGGATAGGGAGTAAAATAAAATAAATGAATAATATAAGAAGACAGCTAAAATACAGACATGGAGGTGCAGAAGAAGAGAGAAATTCCTGTCGCCGTTTTTTTTCTCTCTCTCTCTAGAACAGGCATGTTTCCACACTCAAATAAGAAGAAGACAGGTACGGCTATGTACCTTGGCTCCGTTTCCGCTGAGTAACGCCCGAGTTCATGGTACTGGAAGACAATGGATCGCCTTGGATCATCCGATCGATCTCCCGCCAGCAGCCCCTGACTACTGATTCATGTGCATCTTCGAAGAAGTCCTTGGACGGTTTCAGGATAACCCCATTGATTTGAGTGCGGCCGATAGCTCTTCCTGATAATATCGTTGAAGACGTGTGTCACTGACAGTGGAATTCAGTCACTTCAGGTGATTTCAATTGTTACAGTTTTCATTATTTGAAAACTGACTCCTACAATTCATGCAAGTCTTCCGTTGATTCCGCTGCAAATCTTAACGTGGGTTATTATTTCGTTAACGGCGTATTTCAATAGAGATTGTCCACCAAGGTCAAAAAGTTAGGTTAAGTCGTTATCATAATGAAAACTTTCCACAGGCTTTTATCGAAAATTGCTGCAACAATACAAGTATATAAAAGGCAATTGCGATTCATACAGGTACAGGAGTGGGGCACTCGAGGCCCCTACCTATTGGACCAAGGCCCTGGGCTACCCACTTCGCCCTCCTCCATCACTGCTGTAGAATGGCTCCACCATTTTCTTAGAATGTACACTGAGGTGTCGGAAATGACCAGATGGTCTATGGGATCAGTTCAAGGTGTTCTGTGAATTGAAAACAAGTCTGATACACATGACAGTAAACCGAATTCTGTTTCCATGAATACAATTTTATCAGTTTTGAGTTTTTTTTAAATCCACACTGCTAAATTTTAACGATAAACCGACATCTGGGTTAAAATTTTGAAAGTTATGATTCGGTCAGTGTTTTGATAAGAATAATAGTTCATATAAAAATTTTGAATTCATGGGTTAAGCCAAATATATAGATGAATTAACATTTGAATTATTTCATTATATTATAATTTAGACTTAAATGTTATTTATGGGCTGTGTAATATTATTCATGGTTGAGAAACGCTAAGTTAAAACGCACACAATTAATTACATTTGTAGCTGAATCAAGGGACGAAGAGATACAACGAGTTAACCACCTAACTGCTGACTCCCGACTATACCCGTTGCCTGTATAAGGTATTTACGACGCTTGTCAGAATACAAACGTTTTAATTTCTTCACACGATCTCAGAATAAGCTAATTTTTATGAAGTTCTGAAATTTGAAAAACGTGTTGTAAACGGAACTCTATACGTTAATAAGAATAAAAGAGACGTAGTAAAGCAATGAATCATTTAGGGCTACTTTAAATGACTCACGATTGCAACATTCATGCTGATTGCATCACGTATTTCCTAATCATGAAGAAGGATGGGACAATATTACTTAGGGTAGAGATAATGTATCGAATAGTGTTCTATCTTCATGTGTTGCACAATATTGCATTTTTGCTAGAACTACCGAACGTGGCTCAGGTCTGTTCAGATTTTCTCATCCGCTTACATTTTGCCTTAAACTCCGAGATATTAACAAATTAAAATGATTTCTGATATCTGAGATTTTCAGGGCGGTGAGGATGATGGTTCAGTTCTTCTGGGTTTCGGGCCGTGTTCGTTCCTCGGCAGATGCAATCCTTTCGGAGAAAAGATTACATCCGTCTCAATTTTCGGAGCTAATACCACGATGCTGTGAATTGAAGAGTTCTATGAAAGTTGAAGGGAGAGGGAGTCTGAGGGAGTGGATCAATCGCCTCTGAAGATGGAGACTCTCTCAAAAATTGATGACATCAACCGATGAATCTTCACTTCTCTAAAACCCAGAATAACAGAATTAAAACACGTTATGTCCATGTATGCTTTCATGTCTTTGTAGGGACTGAGCCCCTGGTAGGACTGTGTTGTTCTAAACATGGTAACAGACCACAGCCTCTTTCCCAAACATACTTCATTAGATAAGAATGCTGACGAAGTGAAAAAGTCGTCGACTTACATTCGGGAGTTTTCCATTTCTAATTTTGGCCAAGTTATTTGCTGTGGTCTCAGGTTTGTCGTGTTCTCCCCAATCTCTCCAGGCGAATGCTGGACTAGTAAAATAGGCTACGACCGTCTCCTTCCAGATCTATATTTATTTGCTGTTTGTAATTGTTTTCTGATTTTATTGGACACTAAAACCTCCTAACCGTCAAACAGACAGCCTATTTTGTTAGGTGCATCGAGATTAAATGCAAAAGCGAAATTGTTCTTGTTTTAAACACCACTCCACGATGGTGTGTAAAGTGTATGGAAGAAACGCTTCACGCATCATAACCTCGACACTGCATTTAGATAATGGTAAACTACGCTTCGATCTCCGTTGCCCAGGGAAGAACGGACTCTGTCCATGAAATACGAGGCTACGTGTAACCTACTGTCAGTCTGTCTCTCATTCATTTACAGTTGACAACTAATTACGTATCTCAGAATTATGTAAGTCAACTACCGTTGATTTGGAGGGTAGAGGGACAGAAATTTGTCACAGTGCTCAGCGAGACAAGTAACGTAAAAGAGAGGAGTTAATTATCTGATGCAATTGTTCCTAGTAGTGAATGGTAAAGTTAGTGACATTTACTGGGAGGAAAGTTGACTGCAGAATCAAATCATGTTTAAAAGATGCGGTCAATTGAATTATGTAGTAATCTGACAATCTCGTCTAGTCTGAGTTCACCACTACCACTTTTAGTTGTCTTGTCGACAGTAACAGACAGCCAAGACTGATTAACAGAGTCGATTTATTATTTTCGTCGACTGCATAGACACTCGCGCGTTAATTGAAACAGACAGTACCGAACAACCGCGCATTGGACGGTTCGATCCACTCATACGCCAACTAGGCTTCCGATATACTCGCTAGATCGATCCCCCACCTCCGACTCTACAAGTAGATCGAGAAACGATAATCATTTCTTTTCTTCTTGGAAATTCTACCCCGCCCTGTTCCTTAAGTTTTTTTTATTTATTTCTCTTTTTGTTTCTCCCTCCTACACTTTAACCCTACCACCTTCATATATTCCTTATACATCCCCTGGAGGAAAATTCACAAAGTTGAAGAAGGCGAAGTGACAAGCGTGTGTGTGTATGTGTAGAACATCGGGAGTAATTAAAGAAGGATTGCTTTCCTCTACGGACCTCAGTTGTCGATACGCCGTCATCTACAGCAGATCGACTCCGAGGCTCTCCAAGAAGGACTTCCACCATCGTCCCCCGTACTCTAAAGAAATAGCAGCACTGAGGCCCACAATGCATTCAACAAGGGGATGGTGGGTCCTTGTAGCGTATCTTCTAGTCGCCTATCTTGGGAATTTCTGCCTAGGTAAAGAATTTTTATTTGTGTTAAAGATTTACAAGCATGCATATTTGTACTTTCTTAAAAGATAAATTATTGGCCATTGTAGGCATTAAATTTCGCCAAACAAGGTGTCACGTCATCCTACATGTGGTTTTAAAGTCTGGGTTTCCCATATAGGATGTGGAAATATGTAAATGCTGGGTATAAGGAACAGTTCTTTTGTAGACTGACAACATTTCCCTCCCTTTGCTTAATTTGTAAGAATATTTGGGACAATCGTGTAGGCTCAATATGCATCGAAATTCAAGCAATAACCTTGAAATTCCAATACATTTAACTCTGAACATAGATTCTAATTCAGTGTCCTAGAGCCACTGATAATAATTTGACTCCAAATATAACATAATAATTTATATAGTAAATCATCTAGTGTTTTCTACAATTTCATATATATTTACACGTGAGCAATATTATAATAAAGCTTGTGAAAATTAGAACTGTCTATGTAGAAATTTTGCACAGTTTAAACAAATTAATTTTGTGATAATTGTTTGAAAGTAAATTAATTTTATTAAAAGAACTATACTTTATCGTCATAAAATATAGAACCGATAGAAACGTGCCAATAAGGAGTCGTTAAATTTGGGTCTCTGGTGTGTTGCCCATAACTTCGATTGTATTTTATGTGGCAAATTTTAAGATCACAACACGTTTTATCTTTAAACCTAGTGCTCTCTTTATATTTAATAAAATCTCGTGAAAATTACATAAATATTTATTAACTGTATACGCATTATGATGGGTTACTTATCAATTTCACTAATAAAGATAATTACTTTGTTTAAAACAAGGGACAGGCAACTAACATTTGGTTTCTAAATTTCACATATAGGGCTGATTTCAATTTTATCTTTTCTTTAAACTAGAAGAGACTTTGTTCCATTTACAATTTATACTCGTCATATAATTTGGCTCTACATAACCCAACTTTTAATAAATTTGCAAGATTTTGAATTCTGTCTCTGTTCATTTCCCATATATATAGAAAATGAAGCAGAAAATTTTCATTAATTCGGTAAGCTTAAAACCTCACTAAAACAGCAAGGAATTAATTAACCTTTTAATTTAATTTAACGCATTTTAATATTATGTTGAATAAGACTATTAATACGTAATATCTTCTGAATATAGCAACAAACCTTCATGTTATATAGATGTCAAGGAGTTTCTCAACCTGCTGGGGAACTTTTAGCTTCTTAAGAAGGACTCTGAACTATGGAGCTGGTTAGTTGAAAACAATACTAATTTGCCTGCTAGGAAAAACTGTAATGAATATTCTTATTTGGACGTTTATAAATTTTTCGTTTATAAAATTAACTGCAATATTGCAGTGACCACATGTTGCTTGCCAGTTATTTACGGAAAGGGCGAAGGATGTGTTTAGTTGAACATGCTTTCATTGATAGAATATAATTCTGTGTTACAAAAACATTTTAAATTCGTTTGCCTTCAGGAGTTCATATAAATAAGATATTCCAAAGAACGAAGTATAATCATTAAATAGTGTCAATATGGTTCAGTTTAAAAAGCTATTACTAGAAACAAGCCAACAGACTAGTTACGTAGATATGATTTTTGTTAAAAATTCTACTATAATTTTAACTGTTTAAATGTAATGATGTGTCATAAACCAAGTATAATCAAAAGGTATTTTGTCTGCACCATTCGTAATCAAAGCTCTATAAAAAATTGAATGAAACATGTCTTTGTATAAACTTACTTTTATCTCTCATGTTTAGTGAAAAGGTTAATACAACCTGGTGATGATTTCCTGCAAGTCGAAACATGTAATTTCGTGTCAAAGCTGTCCGTAATATTTAATGGAATTTACATACTTTTGATGAAAGCTTAATTTATATATTATTATATGCAGACTGCCATGAATTCTAAGCATGGACGGCGTGGGTGAAAACTGTAGCCAATGGAAAGCAGACACGTGGGATACCGAAATATTATTATGAGAATGACAGTAAAATTAATCTTACATAGACTGAGGAGATTTCAGCTGGATTTAACAAGCTTTTGGTAGGATTCAGTGAAGAGGTTTTATGGTGGGCGAGATCAGATTTTATATAAAATATAAATAAGTTTTGAAGTCTCATGGAACATCTTAGACCATAATGCTAAACATAATGGCATGTTTCAAGGTCGGTCGGGAATTTTGTGTTTCATAAAACTGTTTTTTTAATGTGTTCCCTTTGGGATTTCCCCCTTCCATTTGTTCCAATGTTTATTGCTCCTAATATAATCTGCTTTATATAATGTCTGATGTAATAACATACCGTTAAATAACTATAAACCAGAAAAGGGAAAATTGCGGAGTTATTCTTTTCTCCTTCTCCTAATTCAGTTCGTACCGCAAAGAAAACGCAAATCTTCAGCAGATACCAGCTGGTTAATGGTACGGAAGGAAATTATCGCTGTTCACAGTGAGAATCTTACGAAACACTTTGATACAGAACGTTGCGTTACTGGTTGCTAAAGCAGGTGGTACATATTGTTACCATTGGTCTTTAAAAGGGTTACGGCTGAATGGCCTTTTTTCTTATGACTTCGCAAGCCGTAGTGACTTGCGCAAATAGCCAAGGACGGATAAACACAATCTCCCGTCCTATCTCACTTAAACCTCAGTTGTCCTGCACCAGAAAGTTCATTGTATCAGGAGATCGGTTTGATTGATCTCAATGTCAATAATTCCATCTGCGTCGTAGTTAAATCTTTCACACAATGGGCTTTCAAATAAAGATCTGTTGAGAGAGTCAGTAGTAAAACCATCTGTGGGATGCTACTTGTAAATACTCAGAGATTGTCAGTGTTCTCTTCACGAAATTCGTAAAGTTAAAGCAGGTTCAGGGCGTTGTGTCTGGTTTTTTATTTCGAAACTATTCGACGAATTCCGATCAAATATAGTATTTGACTTCTATACTAAATTGTGTCGCATAAATTTAATTTTTATTTTATATTGGTACAAATGTATAAAGAATTGTACTCAGAAATTCTGTCGGGGAAATTGCCGCTTAGAAGACCTAGCTGTAAAGGGGGTATAATATTAAAAATAAATTTAAAATAAACTGCTATTAGATTCTGGACTAAATACATCTGACACAGAACAGGGATCATTTGTTATTGTTGACACGATAGTCAACCTTCTGATGTCATAAATCACAGAGAATTGTTTTCACTGAGTGACTCTTTGCTTCTCAAGAAGGGCTGTTTTTCTTAGCTAAAAATCGTAAATATAGTAACGGGGTATATTTTGTAGTATGTAGATATAATGATGATAATTATTTACCGTCATATTTAATTTCGTATTGTCTCTTCTGATTTATTTGTACAGATGAAAACGTTGAAGCAAATGCGCTCATGTATTTTATACGTTGAAGTACATAAAATAATTTAGGCGTTATTTCTTCTCAGAAATTGTTTAAATTATGAGTTCCTATTTAAAGCTTTTTGTCACCACGACAGTTGAGGTTCTCACAGCGGTGAAGACTTCGATGTTGGTCTTCCGTGTAGTAACTCTGTGTGGGCCTGTAGGTCGATCGAAGTCTGCTAGGCGTTACGGCCCAGAAGACCAACATCGGCACTTACTGGCTCTTGTTCTGTCTGCATAGCTGCGGGTCTGTCTCTGAACGACCTGAAATACCACAGGAGCACGGATCACGTCGGACGCCACCACCATGGCACGCAGACCGCGGAGGACACGCTATCAGAATCTACCACAAACGAACCCGACGTGGAGGATGTGAAGAACATCGAGAATGCTTGTTGCAGAAGACAGGAGAAATTCGTCTCTATCGGATTCGGTAAGTAGTATCTGGCTCAGAAGGTCTGTCGGCGCCGTCTGTACTATCTTCAAGTATCTAGAATTGTCCTCATTCTCTACAGGACCTGGATGGTACTTCAACATAAAGAGGAAACGTGATCGACTCTCAAGACACGTCTTTCATGTCTATTTTTAGTATATCCAGGAAAATTACAGGGCAATGTCTTCATATAAGCTTGATAGATTTTTCCTTGAAACCTGTCTCATCACTCATTATCGTATTGACATATTTTATGGGCGCTCACATGAAAAGAACGTGGATTATTAATTTCATCCCGTACGTAGTCAGGAGTGCAGATACCAGGATAGTTAAACGACTAAGTCATAATCGAATAATATAATAGATAAATCGAAGCTACAAAATATCAATGAAACTTCGGTCTGGAGACCAGTTAGTCTAAGAGGTTTTTCATGGTTACTTACAATAAAGTAATAATCACATTGATCCAACACAATTTCCATTCTCGTTTTCGTCTTTTAAATATTTCCTCGCCAATTACGTTGCATACTAACCGCTATATAGATGGTGTTCTCTTTACGTCTGCATGTGATGTGATTTTGGGACAGTGGTGTCAAACTTCGCCTCTGACACTTTCAGTGGATATTTTCATTATTCACTCATAATGACAATCAAAGCGACAGGTTAACTGGACTTCAGTGTTTCAAATTTTAAATTATATTACAGTTTTTCGTTATTTAAAATTATACCCTACAGTCTTCAAAATGTATATTGAAATGTATTAAGGAAAGGATTCTTTGAAGTTCTTTCCAGAACTAGTTTTATTTTTACTGGCTTCACCTTGGTATCTCTCTTTCAGGTTGCATGGCAATTTGCAACAATGAAACCACGTAAATATGTTTGTTTTATTTCTTCTTTTGTCTGAGGTTTAACGTTAGAAATAGTTTCAAGGGCAGGAAAGATCTGAAAAACAAAAATATCAATTTAGACGTAGCATGAGAAATTTGATTCTTTATGGAGGAATTCAACAAGTTCGTAAGAAGCTGCTGATGTTTCTCTCTACGTAAATGCGTCAGTATTACGTCGTCGGTATTTCATAAAGTACTGCACAGTACAGAATTCGTACTTCCATAATTCGGTCATTCATAAGGTTGATGTATTTGTTTTTCCAATACTGTACGGGTCCAGAATTCACTATGACGCAGTTGCTTTTAAAACACGTGTTCGAAATGGAGTCACGAAGGAAGGTTGTATGGGTCAATATTTACATTTTCATTTTCCTTCCATGGGGAGTATCACGTCCTTTGATGCATTCGAGCTATTCAACAAGAAAATGTTTACAAATACTAAGCAAGAAACATGATTTTAAACTGTGAATCTTGACGAAAATTTGTTCATTAATTGGAGCAAAAAACAGACTATATTTCTTTATCGGGCTCAGCCAGGGGGAGTTAAGTTAAATGTATTTTCATTGCTCTAGCAGATACCGGCTGAGAAGTGAAGAGGGCACATCGACTTATTGCGTGTCTCACTGGCAGCGGTGAATGAAAATGAAACAATCGTGGGAAAAGGGAGACGGGGACACCGAAATGAAACACACAAAATGTCACCTTATCTACCAAGAATCCCGTAATTATTGTTTTAGTACTGAACTCAGGAGTCTCGGCAAGATGTCGACATAAAACTTTGAACTGCAGAGGAAGTATACATGTCAAATCCATCATTATTAGAGGTTTGACAAAATAGTCTCTGCTGTTCTTCTCTCTATTCGCTCTTGTAAAATCCCTGAAAAAATACAGAGTTTCCAGTTTATCATGAGTTCAGATCCCGGGCGGTGTTACGGCAAGGTTGCCGCAGAGCGCAGTAGGAGAAGCCGATTGATCGCTACCCGTTTTCCACGTACAGTATGACCTAACTCAGTTCAGAGTGGAGTCTCGAAGTACTTCTGTTTCCGCACAGGTCTAACATCCTGGAAATTTGTTTCTACACACACGGCGAAGTTGTTGTCTTGGAATGACGCACTTTCTTTCCGAATACCTTCTTGGAGTTTTTTAGTAAATGATAGTTTTTCGCACACGTATATCTTAGCGTCATCCTTATATAAAAATTGCAAGGATTCAGATCGTTTGAATGACAGGCCACAGTATTGGACACATCCATCACTCATGATTCGCTTACCAAATGCTTCCACATTCATATAAATATTGGCTGTAGGTCTTAAATTGTCCTGGGTGAAATTCCCATACGATTTTCACTTCAGTCAAATGATCAAAAAAAGAATTAATTTAAAATAACATTCAGAAATTATAGTTTTGTAAAAGACAAATGGCCCTGATATTCTCCCTGCACTGATTACATGCCATCCTGCGACTTACAGACCGTGTGCAGACACTTCAAGATTAGCGTGATTTTCTGTGGGCCAGTATTAACTGTTTTGATTGTTCACGTACCAGCGAGGGAGTTGTGGTTTAGTTTTCCGGAAAGAATCAGCTGGCCTTCCGATCTCAGTTTTCAAAGCCGTCGGTCTCATAATAAACTGGAGTTCCTGTACTGTACTTATTAAATCCATCCACGCAACGCTATATCTTCCATCGACAAAGAAAATAACTATCCTTCTTTTAAATTGTTATTGCCAAATATTTGCTTTGTTGGCAGAATCTTATCCAAGGATTAAATTATGTTGGCACCGCTGAATCACAGACATTCATGATATGATGCCAAATTCTTTAATTGGGTTCACAAACCAACATTTTTATTAAGTTATGTTCACTCTCAAGTTTCACCACTTCCGAATAGCAGTTAAAATACCGTGGAAATATCGTCGGCGTTACTAATAGCGCAAACTTGTAAGTATTTGGATCATGAACTAGATTTGCCCTTAACAGAAACTGATTTATACATTTTGAAAGGTATGTAGGCTAGCTGCGTCTCATTGACAGTACGTCCACAGAAAATACTCAGGCCAACTCATCGCTCCCATTTTAACACCCACTAATCTCTGAACTATATTTATATTTTAATTTAAAATTGTTTTTCTTGGCCTCTGCCAATAAACTAGATCCAAGCATACTTGTTTAAAATATTTCTGCGACAACCTAATATGAATATACACCCTGCTCGAGGTCCAAATTATTTGCATCACTAATAACGTTTTATTTTTAGACTCATTATACAGAGTGATTCAAAAGGTTAGGGCCAAACTGAAGGAGTGTATAGAGGGACTCAGAGATAAAAACTTTCGGATAGGAATCCATGTCATCCGAAGTTATCCTGAGTCGGTCGAGGCCATTGAAGGTAGGGAAGTCTGATAACATACAGATGAAATAATCGTAATTTTCTATTCTCCTCCTAGCTTAATTTTGTTTTTTATTAATGTACAAGGATTACAGCCACTATCTTCTAATGCCACATTCATGTGCAGTCCTTCATGTGACTCAGACATTTCTTGAAGTGACTTGGTACCGAGCTTGAAATTTAGTAAGGTGTCTGACTTCTGTTATGTTGCGCCATGTGATTTGGTATAAGGTTATCGACGTCTTGTAGGTTCTCGCTGTCTCCATTATCAAAGCGATGAGTGCATCTTGATGATGGAACTCGGTAAATTTCTACCAGACTTCACACTGTAACATCCCACAAGACAGACGTTTAAAATTAGATATAGGTCTATTTGTTCTGTGACATTACGTAATAGTCTACTAATAAATTGCATACTTTTATAAGACATTTTTATCCTTCATTGATTAGGACTGACTGATGAAGTAGTTTTAAGCAATTCTTGAAAACCAACAGATTTCTTACAACTTTAATCCTCCGTGTCTTCATTTGACGTCGGAATTAGCATTTGATGGTTATTATTTCGAAAAGAATATGTTATATAAAGCATTATATCCGTTTTTGTCTAAAGCGTTTTAAAATCTTATGTAGGCCTATATTTAGTGAGATATGTTTAAAATACAGTAGAATCCCGATTATCCGGGGACTATCTGGTTTAAACAAAAATTAATTTGGACAATCTGCTATAAAAGTTAAATCGTTTAAAAATAAATAAATATAATAATGGCATTATTTAATGTGTTAACATAAAGTCATTGTTGCTGTAACCTCAAGTTTACGACAGTGAAATGTAATTATTATAAGTCAGGATCCTTTGTTTAAATAGCTGTTATGCACTGTACTACATTTATATGAAATGCTTTCTGTTTTTAGTAAATCTTTAGAAAATTAAGTAGTATATTTATTTAAATAAACTTGTGTATTTGTTACGTTTGCGTGTTTTACTTTTATGTCCGCGGGTTATCCGGGAAAATATATTTCCCAACTAATCTGGATAATCGGAAGTCTACTGTATGGTTATGCCTATTCGTTATGGTTGCACTTATTTTGTTACATTTAAATATAGATTCAATCCGAAAGTAAGTGTTATTCGTTTTGCCGTGACAGGTTAGACAACTTCCAAAAGGTTAATGTTTCCTTGTGTTTAATTAATAACTCCATAAATACGCGGTAAATGAGACCCTGTATCCGCTGGTAAAGTCCAGAGCCAGTCGGATCGTGGTGACAAATATCCCTGCACCTAACGGGAACTGAACCCACTCACTGCCTTCTACCATCTGCCTTCATTACTTCTATTTTAGACGTCTATTCCGTCTTTTCCTGTATGAAGTCATCTCTTCAGCGCTGTTATCGTAAAAAAGTTTCATTCGTATCTGAGTTTTCCATTAAAGTTTAAAGATAGGTACAATTTAGCGATATCAGAGTTATCACGTACGGGCGTGATCTGAACACCTAAATTAAATAAATCAGTTTTGAGACTTTGATTAAGACTGTAGAATGATAAAATTTATTTTGGAGAAAATTTGTAAGAAATTTGGCTTGATTTAATTTACTCGAAATAACGTACAATGGCGGCCTCTGTATACACAGTAATAAACTTTTGTTTTCGTTAAAAATAATTGCGTAATTATTGATTCTGAAGGTAAGATCTTGTGCCATGGAGCTAAATTGGGTGGTTGGAATGTGTAGACTAGAATCTGTTTTGTGTGACGATGTTCTGTTCGCAGGAGTATCGGGTGAAGTCGTCCAGTTGGACGTCGGCCATTGCCAGAAAAAGAGATGCCTGAGTCTTCTGTCCCTCATGGACCCTGATGTCGCAGATTTCGACAGCTCCGTATTTAAGGTAAGTTTTATTTCCCACGCGTTAACATCATGCCCCGAAACTAAAGATGACCTTGTAAAGTAGCATTATGTAAAGTTCCGAGTGGACGTCCTCACGGTGCCCTTGTCCTGCTAGATGGATGTTCATGATTCATTTTCAAAACCTAAAATTTGACATTTATCGGCTGTATTAATGCAGATTATGTTAAAGCATATGGACTTTCTCCTGTCAAGAAATCTTGTTGTTTATTATTATCTTCTGGAATGTTGTGTCATGTAGTATGGTATAAATTTACCTAGTCCTTACTGCCTCTATCATCAGGGCGATAGTTCTAATTTTAAATTTATATTTAATTAGCCAGATTACAACATAACTATAAAAAATTTGTTAACAACTGGGCACATTGCAAGACGAATTATTTCACCTGAGGCTATCCAAGTGCCAAACGAAGTAGACCACCTGACGTCTATAAATCATGTGTTTAAAAAAAATAATATAATAGAAACATTTCAAAAGAAACAGGTGTTCAATTCAATGTAAATCTCACCGACATTGCGACCTGGCTCTATCTTCCAATCTCTGCACACATACATACTTAAACAGGTTAGTCACTGCTTCATAATAGAGGTCATCTCAAACTGTCAATCATTATTAATATTGCGACCACGCCTTCAAATCAATGAATGGATGTTGTACCGTCTCGCTCTCGTCACTTTGTAGTTAATTGTAGCACTACACGTTGTTACAAACTCTTGTTCAGTCAGCCTACTCTTAATCTGACACAGCCTGTACTTGTCTGCAAAGGATAATGACTGTATGAATGAACACTTGGAATGTAGGGCGACTCTGTTCTGTCTAGATTATAATCGGCAAATATGCGTCGTAAAACAAATTTCTTTTATTTTTATGGCGGCAAATGCATCTCACAGGAGCAGACAGTTCATTGAAAGTTAGAACACCTTAAAACTACGCAGTTACAAACGTACAGATGTTTTACGTGAGTGTTCATTCATAGTACTAAAGAATACTTTTGATCTTCTCAGAGGATGATAAACCGATTTTTTATTTTGTAAAGAGGATCAACGAATGGAAAATTTTGCTGCGTGTTGTACTTTTGAATCGAAGGTTTCTGTGGAAAATACTACGCACACCTGGCAACGAAGAGAAATGAAAGATTTATCACAGATTTATAAAATCAAATTAGTTTGTGATTTCAGAAACAATACGCACGTGTTGAATAATGTTTTAAACGAGCGAATCGATTATGGTAAATACTTTAAATGAACGTGAGATTTCATATGTATAACAAATGCACCTTTTCTCCTTGTGTATCTAGTGTTTTGCAGACTGAAACATGGATTTTGAAACCATACTGAAAAACAATTCTTGACCTCGTGCGTAACATGGAGAGACTTGTAGTAAAATTTTTATTCTAAATAATTATATATCTTAGAGATTAAATTTTAATCTAATTAATTATAATTCTGAAATATTAAACTTTACGATAACAAAAATTAATCTCTTATTTCTTATTTTTAATTATGTTTGTAATACTTCGGTGTGTATTTTATTTTACTGTGTCAAACATGAATTATTTATCGAGAAACAGCCTTTTATTGTAGGATCGCTTCAAAGATTTTCTTGACTTTGGATGAATATAATATGAAGCTTATATTACACTGCTGACAGTTCTTACGAAAGAGAAAAAATCCCCAAACCAGACAGTCCTACCTCTCGTCCAAGATGATCTGTTGTGTCAGACGAATTCAGTCAGTTTATGCCATATCTTTCCCCGCTGAGATTATCATACTGCAATGTTCTGCGGTAGATATGTGGTGATAATATTAAATTTGCATAAAGAAATTTTATTATGGACTGTACTGATAGGTACAATATTAAGGATTTGTATGTGTGATATTTTGAATATTCTCCTTCTTGCAGAAACAGGGCGTTCGTGTTTTGGGTTGTATTGAAGTATTCAAAAAGACAACAGTTTGTAAACACTTCGCTCCCGTGTGTATTTTGTCAAAATTCAAATATGATCTCCTGATGATTATCTAAAGCGAAACGTTCTCATTGTAATTTCATCATTAGAGACATGTAAGGAAATTTCCATAGCATTTTTGTTTGCCCGTTACACATGAATATTTTTATTAATTCTGCCCTATTGAATAAAATGCTTTTCTTGTCAAACACATTAACGTTTTTTATACTGGCGCCAATAAACACGTTTCAGCACCATGCTTTCATCAGAGGACGATTTTTTCTTGCGAAATTAAAAGGAAGACTTAAGATTTACAGATGAATGTCTGCTGTTACCATAGATTATGCATGCGAACACTAAATTTCTAACACGTTATTTAAAACCTGCATTCCTTTAGCAAGAACACGTAATAAGTTAAGAAACAAAAAATCTCCTAAAAAATACTGTATGCATTAAATCTTAAGATTTTTTTGAATAGCGGGTTGGTTTTATCCAGAAGCAGAATATCTCAGTAATAAATAAATATTTTCCCAATTTAAGGTGCAGTGTATCCCAAAATCATATATACACACGACCATTACATATGTCAGTATCGTACATACATCTTTTTGGGAAACCACGTATTTCAGAAGCGTCCTTTGTAAAGTTGCATCACCGATTTAGTTTTGTAGAGCCTGTTCATGTATTTCATATACAAATATATTTCCACGTCTGATAAACTATTGTGTTTTGTATATTTAGTCTAATATTGTTACAATGATTATCTATATTAGTGGGAGTGAGATGAGTCAGATATTTTATGGGAAAATTTGTGTCACTGCTAAATGTTAACAAAGAATAAATTACGCTTTCTTCTGCGTTTTCTACAGTGTGTAAACAATACTAAACAGCAAAGTAATACAAAAATTGAAAGCAAAATTTAAGAAGTTTATTTCAAGCTATTAAAATTTTGTTTCAAATTAGTATTTTAGGCTAGAGGGCTTGCTTAATTGTTTGAACAGCCTAGTAGGTCTGAATGACTGATAAACCATCTCCCGTATTATTTTCGATAGATATTATAAGACATCTAAACCTTTAATCTTGCGTGTTACTTTCTGGCCAGATACTTGAACACAAAGGAGTGCCTGCGATGACACTTGAACATTTTCATGTAAATATTCTGTTCTTATAATTGTCATAGAAGGTTGTGATTTTCAAAGAAGGCTATGTCTATTTAGAAAAATAAACTTCTTTGTATACCTTAAATATCAGGCTGTATGTGCCTGCATCGAAATAATTACTTAAAGTCAGATGGAAAAAAGACTACATTGATTACATTTTCAATAGGACTGAACCAAAGAGAAAACTCAAATACAAGAAGATAGTGCATTCACTATAATTCATTAAGAGCTGTAATAACTTCCTTTGAAATTTTATACTTGACTTCTGGTGATGTTGACGGAAACGATTGTGGATAAACGCCTTAATTTCCGTAAAAATAGCATAAGAAGCTTGTAGTTCAATAAAAATTGTAATTGACGAGCCTCCGCTGTAATGGCCTCTCGCCTACTTGGTTCTGGCGCCACTACCAGCTTCTTCCGACCGCAGAATCTGGTTGTAACCATTGCAGAAGAGAGACCGGATTCCCAGAGAAACTCTGCCCCCCCTTCCCCAGGCCAAAAGGTCGCCCGGGTAGCTTGGATCTGAGCACGCGACCTTGGAAGGACGCTGAAACCGCACCTCTACTGCAAACAAACGTCACGCCATAATCGCAAATTAAATTCTTTGTTCTCATCTACTGTAGCCTGTTCAAGCTTGTGCCTAGCGGAGTATACGAATGTCTGGTATCTCTGACTGGTATTATGAAGTTCCAGCCCATTTTTCCAAAAGGGGCCTTAGTTTCCTTTCATTAAATTTTTTTTCTGTACTCATTATACCGAATTCGATTGAACAAAGTCATTCTTGAGAAGCCGATAGTCTAGCATCTAATCAATAAAATCTTCGTCTTCTATAGAACCCAAGGTTCATTACCATGCTTACAAAATTTCGCCATTAAATCCTGTCCTGAGACAGTTAAATACAGCCCACAGCCTCAATTCCTATTTTCGTGAAGACGCCAAAGATCTTGTATCAATCGAGCAAGTCGACTCAGCGCCAACTCCCGGCGCTACCTTGTTCCAATCTCACCCTTAGTTTTTCTGCGTCGAGAATCGAGCCCGGGGCTTTGCGAACATGAAGCGAAGGCGATAATCGCAGTAAAGATGTTTAGTATAGGCGATTCGAAGAATGGGAACGGTAAAGGTCCTGTGCATACAGAGGGACGTTGAGAATAGTCTATTTAACGGCACCTTATCAACTGTAGTTACTTCTGTAAAAATGGAAAGGATATCTGAAGATACTCTCACGGAATTCGAGAGTTAACATCAATTCAACCTGCTTGGTTGCATATTTTAAGAGCCGGCTACGTATCTGCTTCATTAACCTTGAGGTTTGTACATTTTTTTTACATAAATACGTCTATAAGGAAGCCTCATTCGGCAAAAGAGGGGAACGAAAAAGGGAAACGAAAATGTGTAACCTGGGTACCTAGGAAACGTCGTGTTTACTCGGCATTGTTGTTACCTAGGAAACGTCAATTGTTTACTCGGCATTATTGTTACCTAGGAAACGTTACATTACATTACTCGGCATTGTTGTTACCTAGGAAACGTCAATTGTTTACTCGGCATTATTGTTACCTAGGAAACGTTACATTACATTACTCGGCATTGTTGTTACCTAGGAAACGTCAATTGTTTACTCGGCATTATTGTTACCTAGGAAACGTTACATTACATTACTCGGCATTGTTGTTACCTAGGAAACGTCATCTGTTTACTCGGCATTGTTGTTATCTATAAAGCATTTCATTACCTTACCTTACATTACATTACATTACTTTACATTACATTCAGCTACAACAGACCCATCTTACGCGTAACTAATTCAAGTTAAATAAGCAATGTCTTAATCGAACTTATCTCAATTGTAAAGCATGTATAAAGGAAATATTTAGAAT